ATGACGAACAAAAGCATGAGTGTCACCAATCGAAATTAGACGACTGTCGCCCGTTCTATAAGAAACCCAATAAGGTGATGGTTGTACCCAATTATAAAGTCTAGCATTTGGTTCATCTTTGAATGAAACTACTGGCATATCATTCAATTTAGAACCTCGTCCATGACGGTATCTTGTCCTGAAAAGACAGACACATTCATGAAAATGTAAAACATCAAAACCGGGTGATTTTATGTAATCAATATCAATTGTAAGGTTGTCATCTGAACAATTACTTGGAAATGTAAATGATAAATCTCCAAATTTAAATATTTGATTTTTAAACACTTTACTACGAATTTCCATTGATGAACTTTGACCTTTTGAATGAAATGCATTATCAATATCATTCGTAGAATAATTAGGAAGTTCTTTACGAAGAACATGACCACTATGTGTATAACGCGCTCTTTCATGAGCCGTTATACATAGGGGTAATTGGAATAATCTTGAGTTTCCATGTCGAGCACAGTATACAGCTGATAAAACTGTTATATCATCTTTTTCAAAATTTAATGGACGTCGAGCGATTGAAAAATTCGGATATTCATTCCGTATTGTATCAGGCATTGCTTGTACAAGATGGTTATATGTAGCATTACCAGTAAATTTTAATTCTGCTAACGGTTTATTACCAGCCTTTGTACCATCACTATAAAGATCAACAGAAAAAAATTTATTTCCTTTTAAATTAGCCCGATATTGCTGTAAATGTTTTTTCATTTCATCCGTTCTTGCTTCGTCAAAAGCAGTAACCCGATGACTATTTACTATATTTATATCAGCTCCATGCCTCAATAACAAATCAACTGTTGAAATATGTCCGTAATAGACAGCGCCATGTAATGGTGTACTTTTTGAACCTTGTAAAAGCTGAATATTAACATTTGCTCCTTTTTTTAAAAGCCATTCTGCTACTAATGTTTGACCATTACGACATGCAACATACAATAAATTAACACCATTCTCATTAACTATGTCTGGTGATTTACTGTCGAAATAGTATTCAAACCACCAAATGGTACCTTTTTCAGCCATTTTAAACATATCTCGTTTACGCATCGTTTCAAATAGATCCGTAATAGTTGTACCATGAATAATACCTTCTTGTTCAGCTGTCATACAAGATTTATTAAATAAAAGTGGATTAGCACCTTGATTAATAAGATATTCTACAACCAATATATGTCCACTATGAGCTGCAAGATGTAAAGCTGAATTTAAATTGAAGTCAACAATGTCTAGATTGGCTGAGCGTTCTTCGACTAACCAACGAACAAGATCTATGTAACCTTTTTTACTAGCACAATGAAGTAATGTTTGTCGTTGTACATGATATTGTTCATCGATATGTTGCTTCATATTATCAATATTATTCTTAAACCAATCAAGTCGATCGGCAGCTGCTTGTACAAAAGGCGTGTTTTTCAAAACAATGAACGCTTGTTTGACAGCATCTCCATAAGATTCATCTTCGGCTGTGCTATTCCCAGAATTTTTTTTTCGATAATCGGCTCCACATTCTAATAAACAACGAACAATTTCAGGATGTCCATAAAAAGCGCTTACATGTAGAGCTGTACTTCCTGTTCTCTGTGACAGATCAGGCTCAGCTCCTTGTTCTATTAAATAATAGGCAGCTTCTACATTGCCAGCACGTGCAGCACAATAAAGTGCTGTATGTCGTGTTTGTGGATTTTGTGCATTTATATCCTTTAATGTAGCATTTTGTAAACGAGTTTTCAATTGTTCTACAAGTTCAGGTTCAGCAGCTAATTGTTGTAATGTATATTCTTCTAAAGATATGTCTCTAACCCATTTTCCATCTTGATTGTATCTCTTACGTTTATCATGATCAGATAATGTTTCATAAGCACGACAAATAAGTCGAAAATTTTCTGCTGTAATCTTACGATTTTTAGGATGTTGAAGCCGATCGTTTTTGTATTGATGAATTTTTTCACGATATGCTACACGTATATGATAATCGTTAGCATCATTTTTTATTCCAAGTATGTTGTATGGTGTTGACGTTACCACTGCCATACCTTGATAGTGTTTTTGCAAAATGTCTTCACAAAACGAAAAAAAATCTTATTGATAAAAAGAAACAAAATGTTCTGACGAAAACTTATCTTATCTTACATAATTCAACTAGTTTTTTTGTTTCTATTACTTACTGGGGATATTTTCACTGATTAGTCACAATGAAAATTTCTATGGGAAAGGTATTCCAACATTATAAGTATTCTCCAAATTGCTTCAAAGCATGACAAACTGCACATATTGTTCTATCAGTCTTTGTTTTTTATTCGAGAAAGTTTACACTTTCATATAAAATAATAGAGA